ATTCAACTAAAATTTCTTCATACCTTGAATTTTTAAACACAGACAAAGTAACAATAAAGGCAATAATCACTGTAAGGAGAAATGGAAATACCCTGGTTGGCAAATGATTCTAGCAAGCTCAGTGCTCATAGGTACTCCTAGTGAATACAGCACAGACACATACATACTTTGATATTATATCATACTAGTTTCTCTGCATCAAAATGAAACTTACTATCTGCACCTGAGATAGGAGTTATATTTTAGTATCAGAAATATTGAATTGGAGAGCAATATCTTACTGCAACTGAAAAACATTATATTTGATGTCCCTGACATCTCAGTAAACGGCTCGTAAGGGCTGTTAATTTTCCATGTACTGACAGGACAAGACTTCTAAATTAAAATCTAGATGGAATATTTAGTTAAACATATTTGTCTGGGACCAACTGTTACTTTAGCACCTCCTCAAGTTCCACTATAGAGCCAGGATGACATTGTTCATGTTGTCTCAGAAGTCAGAGAACTCTTGTCATCTGTGGACATGTGTCCATTGGGAAGAGTAGAAGGGAGAGAGCTCCCTGTTACCAGGTGTTTTACTATCTCTAGCACACCAAAGCTAATTCAGGCACGCATAGTGTTCAGCTCATAGGACTACGTGTTTGTGTGAGAACAGAGCATAGTCTTAGTTGATCTTGTGAAGACAGTCTCTCAGAGCCTTTTAAAAAATTTCTACATGGATTCTGCTAACATGACATCTAGTACTATGACTACATGTACACCTCAAACAAGAATCTTGTTTTCTGACTAATAGTAATAGGAAAATACAACCTAAGTCATTCAACTGGGCATGTTCAGTACTATTACCTAATACTGAACTGAGTTTCATTTCTCAGAGCTTCAGGAACTGAAGACAGTCTTGAAATACCACTTTTACCTGTATCACATTTACCCTTCCCTTGAAATTCCCTATATTTACCAGAATAACCACATATTAATGAGAATTCGTCTCCTATTATCTCCTTGAATTGTAAATACAGTCCCCAGAGTTTAATACAGTATATGTTGGGAAAAGCTGCAGGGGTTATATATTGCCATTTTTCTAAGGATTTAACTTTGTAAAGTTTCACTGTTATATTGAATCAGATTCAAAATATGTCAGTGACATGTTCAGGGTGTGGAATTCATAAGCTGTGAGTGGGCACTCCAAAGTATTCAAGAGCAACTGAGATGATAAATATCTGTAAACCTGAACAAATAAATGCAGAGAAAGAATTGTACCATGATGCCTGGGTAGCTAGCGGTGAGAAGGAAGAAAGAAAACCCATAGAAAGTTGGGAATTAAAGGATCATTACTCAAATGTATTGTCCTGTAAAAATCAAACATTTTCATGATATCCCTTAAAAACAAAAACCTAAAGAAAAATTTGGATTTTTTCACTTATAAGAATACTGAGTATCTTTTGAAGCATGTTTACATTAATAGATTCTCTACAGAGTAGTTTGTATTTTCAAGTTCAATCCTAAGCACTGTTGTGCTGCATGAAATCATTCAAAATCATGAATATTTTCATGGAAATACATAACTTTCTAATGTAAGCTACGTACTATTTCTCACATGTATGATATGCAAGTAAACCACATAAATTTGCATAGGGAGATTCAGGATCCTTGAGATATGTGACCTTTTAAGTACTGTACTGAGTCAAACTCAGAGACACTTATGCTAGGCATCTAACACTACCTAAAGTCACAATATGAGGAATGGGACATTTGAGAAGCTGCTCCATGTATAGCAGAGCAAATAAGCTACCTTCCATAATTTCCACTCTTTTGTTGGCTAGTAAGTCATGAACATTTCATTACGCAAACAAAATCAACTCCCAGAGTCTCAAGTGTTAAATATTTGGGCTCTGGACACCAGGATTCAGAAAAAGATTTATGGACAGGGGATTGGATGATGACCATGACTTCATAGCTGTTCCTCCATCCATCCATGATTGGAAGAGATTAGGCCACTGCTGTACAATATTGAAGCACATGTTTTGCTTCTGTCCTCAGAAAGAACTTCTCTATCATTATCTCAATCTTTGTTCCTCCCTGTCTCTCCTTCCTTCAGGATGAGAATTGTCCCCTCTGCCACATGGTTACCAGACTCCTACATTTGTTTCTCTGTAAGCCATATCTACAGAAACAAAGAAATATGTATCAAAAACAGTGTAACAGTGTTTTGGTTTTTTTTTTTTTTTTTTTTTTTTTTTTTAAGGTTTCTTCTTTTTTTTTATTTTTTGGGT